AACTTTTTATGGTGTGTTTTTGTTCATTTTTTGTTGTTTTGAAAGTAATTTTGGTCACTTTCAGTACATCTTCCTACATCTTGCAACAAATCTCGATTTTAGGGTGAAATGCGACATGGGCGTGACCAAACGGTCCATCATTATTGGCTGAAAGAGACTCACGGAGAACACCGGGATCACTAACCCTGCGTTCTCCATAATACTCGTCTCATTACTTTTAAATAACATCAGGCGCACAAATATTTAAAAAGCATCTGTGAGATGAGAGGAAATCATGCAAATATAAAAGGCCCTGGAAATGAAGGATTGTGGGATGCGGGCGGCTGACATCTTGGCACGGTGAGCTGATCAATTAGTCTAATCACACCAGTGTCAGCGCTGAGGTTGCATTAATATTCAATTAATGGTCTGAATCCCTCCTAAAGCTTCTAGAGCCTTCTGGTGCGCAATCCGACACCCCGCGCTCCATTGGCTGTCGAGTGTTTCATCGCTATGGAAATAGCAATCGTTGCGTCGCTATGGTTGGAATGTGTGCGGTGACTTAGGTCTTTACTGACCTAAACACGTTTAAATAAAACCAAACGCGATTTTAGACGAGAAGTTCGGCGTACCGAATAACCCACACAACAAAAACTGTCTGTGTACAATGTTTTTTTTTCCTCTGTCTCTCTCTCTCCCAGAGCGGTTTCTCCTGGAGCAGATGGTGTTGTTCAGGCGCTGTTTTTGTGTGTGTGTGTGTTGTGAGTGAGCGAGAGATTCCAGTATCCCGCTTTTCAGGTCAGGGAGGATTTGGTTCTGCCTGCTGCCTGGTTTGGGCTCTTATACTTGGCTTAATTAGTTAATGTTACTAATATGTTATTTGAGTGTTTGGGTATTGGGCCTTTGACCCTTTTTTTTTTTTTTGCAAAGCTAAATCATATTTGAGTATAAAAACCTTGTTTCAAACAAACTCATATATTTCTATTTAAATATGATTTCGCTTTGCAAAAAAGCGGTCATGCCAATAACCCAAACACTCAAACAACATACTAGTAACATCAATTAATAGTACATATATAAACCATATCATAATTTTGGTTTTAAATAAAGATCATGATTCTCTCATGATTTGAATTAAGTGATCACTGAGAATGCGCTAGTAAATTTGACAAATAATTACAAAAAATGGCAACTAACATCTAAATCGAATTATTTATTGTATTTTTCTTGTAAAATGGTGATATTTACTTGCTACTACTTCGAAAAATAAACAGCTGGAGTAAATAGTTTGCCAAGTTAATGTACGAAAGTAACTAAAATGAAATATAAATTAAAACCTATATAGATAGACATTAAAAAAACTGAGAATGACAAAAATACAGCGAAATTACTCAATTATTCAAACTATTTATATGAAACTAAAATATGTCATTGATACTATTATTTTTTTTTTTGTTACAAATAAAATGTGTGCTGCATAGTACATACAGTAGTATATAACCAAATCACAATTTTGGTTTAAAATCTCCCACGATTTTAAACAGACAACTAAAGAAAAATATAGAATCCGGTTTGAGTGAATGATTCAATGACTCGCTCATAAATTCTTCGGAAAGGTGATTTATCTATTTTGATCACTACCGTACACATCTCTGTTTATATCTGAACTATAATATTTTATTCCAGTGCTTCTGTGATCATATGAATGATTTTAAGACAGAAATAATGAACTGTGGTTGAAAAGGCTGTTTGTTTCATTATTACATCTACATGACACCGGCTCTCTCAGGATCAGAACACAGATCTGAATGTTCGTTTTTATCAAAATTAGTATTGAAGTATCCATACTGGAATAAAAAAAACTGCTAAAAACCACAAGCATGTTATTCATATGCTAGTATGAAGACATGCATTTAAATGAGGATGTATGACAGATGTATCATATTATATCATAAAGCTAATTATGACTTCAGACTAAGCATTTTTACAATTTACAGATCTTTTTTTTTCCTTCTCAAATGAGGACGTCCCAGATTTACCATAAAAAATAAATGCATTTATCGTGCCTCTCTTTGTCTGTGTTCGTGTGCATGTGAATGTTTGTCAGATCTGTGCCGTTCAACTCTGGCCTTCGGAGAACTTCACCTCTGTTGTGCTGCTAAAACTAGAGCGCGTTCTGTACACCAACTCCTCGTTCACACAAACATCATCTCCTCTTCTGTAATCTACAGCTTTACTCTCTTACTCTCTGTCTTTTAGCTCCTGTATCCACAAGCTCGGGATAAATCAGCTTCAGAAACCTGAAACGTCGTGTTTAAGAAGTGCCACGGCTTTCAAAAGCAGGAACGCGGATGAAAGATTTATGAAGTGTTGGACGCAATTAAACGAGCTGATGCTCAATTCTCGTCTCCGTTTCACCTGTGGCCCACCAGACGGCAGAACCCGTGTGTGAGCACAGGTTGAGCCCAGACAGCACCAGGTAGTGTGTGTGTGTGTGTGTGTGTGTGTGCAGACGGGTCCCACAGGGTGAGCTACTACAGCTGTAGACAGACACCGAATTTGCTGCATCTGCTGTCCTGACATCTGCAGACTGGGCCGAAGACGTGTGTGTGTGTCTGTGTGTGTGTACAGTCATTCTGCTGAAGTCAGAGACCTGACTTCAGTGGAACAACAATGCAAAGTAATATTATTAGGGGAAAAAATAAATGACGATAATATAAATATTTAATAATAAAAACAAAAATAACAATGAATGAATGATGTATTTATATAGCGCTTTCATATTTACTACTGTACAAACAAAATCCACTTGGGTGATGCGACGATAACTCACCCCTTACAAAAAATAATGTATGCATAGATGTTTGTATTTAATAATAAAGCAAAAAAAAAAAAAAAAATGCATGCATTTAGAACATGTTTCATGCCTGTGTACGCATCTAATTGCGCATGTAAATGAAATCTGAAAAAAAATTGTTTAATAGTTTTGTAATTATTATTATTTATAATATTATAATATATGATAAAACATGAAATAATAATATAATAAATAAAAAAAAAATATATATATATTCATGCATGCACAGACACAAAAAACATTTACAGAGGTTTTTTGATACACATGTACAGATAATATGCATATTTTAAATGTATATATTTATAAATAAATATATATAATATTACACCAAATAATAATACATCATTTAATTTGTTTAGTGTAAAATATGGTTATCGTTAAAGAGTCATCAGATCTACATTGATCTCAAATGAGTTTCATACTGTACGTTTTAGAAAAGTGTCAGTGAAGGGTAGGAGGTGGTGTGTGTGTGAGAGAGTGAGTATGTGAGCGTTTGGTGTGTGTTAGCATGTGAGTGTGTGTTTGTGTGTGTGTGTGAGAGAGAGAGAGAGAGAATGTGTGTGAGAGAGTTTGTGTGTGAGAATGTAAGTGTGTATGTAAGCATGTGTATTGTTAGTTTGTGTGTGAGAGAGTGTGTGGGTGCACGCCAGTGTATGTATGTGAGCGTGTGTGCGCGTGCGTGTGTGTGTGTTTGTGTGTGTGTGAGAGAGAGATAATGTGTGAGAGAGATTTTTTTTGCGTGTGTGTGTGTGAGAGAGTGAGTTTGTATGAGTGTGTGCGTTTGTGCGCATGTGAGTGTGTATGTGAGCGCGAGTGTGTGAGGGTGTGTATGCATGCACGCGTGTGTGTGTGTGTGTGTGTGTGTGTGGTTCAGAGGTTTGAGCAGCTGTGCTCTGGCAGGAGTGTGTTTGGGGTGTTCAGGGGTCCAGGTGCCTCGTCTCTGGCGTCGCCTGCAGTGCTGCCGTCGGGCTGAGAGGTAATCAGGCAGCAAAGCACTTCTGACGGACCGCACACAAAATACACACACAAAACTACTCAGCACACTACTAATTTCATTTGGCCCGCAGGAAAACCTGCGAGAGAGACAGATACAGAGAGAGAGACCGATCGAGATGCTGTGATGAAGTCGTTTTAGACATTCCACATAATGGATCTCTCATCCAAAAACGATGTCAGTCAAATGAACATTTCAATTGAACATAACATACAGTGTGTTTGTGTGTGCGAAATGCTGTCAGCCCTGTGAATGATGAAATAAACCTGCTTGTATTTGGATTTGTCCAGTTGTCATCCGTACAGGGAAAAACACGAGCAGATCTCCAGTTCTAGAGAGACGCTTAATGTCTCGACATCTGGGAAAACCGCACCAGTCCATCAGTGCGCGTGAAAACATAATTTATTCATTCTTTATGCATTATTTACATCTATTGTCAGTATTTTAATTAACACCAGCATTTTGTGTTGGTAAGTCAATCTTATGTTCTTTTTCATACTCCTATTCGTCATATTCTTTTGTGTGTAAATCCAGGTTGGAGACCTGATCCTTTCCCTATAAATCCAACAAAGGACGTGAAAACAAAAGAAATGAGGGGAACCTAATGTATGTATTTTTTTCTTTCCTTAAATTTATTTATTATTCTATCTTTATATATTAATAAAATGATTTTAATTAAATTATATCAAATATATAATGTCAATTTCATATGTATGTTTTTTTTCTTTCTTACATTTTTGTCATATTTTTAATTTCCTTTGCAAATAAATGCTGTTCTTTTGAACTTTATTCATCAAAGAATCCTTAAAATATAAAATGCATCAGTTTCCACAAAAGTATGAACTGTTTTCAACAGTAATAATAATAAGTTTCTTAAGCATCAAATCAGGAAGAAATTACATTTTACAATATATTTACATTGAAAATAATTATTTTGAATCTTAATAATATTTTACAATTTCTACTGTATTTGTTTGCATTTTTTGGGGGGGTATCACATATTTTTATATTTTGTTTAAATTATCCAAGTATTGTAGAGCCAAAAGACAAAATGGTTTAATTCCATCCAGGTAAAAATATTCTCTTTCTCAGATAGAATTTACTGGTTGCGTTTTACTCTTTCCAATATCTATACTAATAGATCTTCTTGAATGCATGTCATTCGTCACAGACACACTTTCACACACTGGTGTAATGCGTGTGTGTGATGCTGTTCAGGCTGTCTGCACCTGTTCGCTATAATGCTGAGGATCCAGCAGGTGTGTGTTACTCCTGAACAGGTCATTAATTTTCATATTTACTGACCTGAGCTTCGTTACCTGCTCATTTCATTGCCTTTTTGATTCCTATTGTTTCTTTGAAAGCAATTACAGAACAATAGTATGTGTAATTAAAGCATAATCAAGTAATGTGAGGCCACGGCTTCACTCAGAGACAATTAAAACACACTCTCGCACACATGCATCGCTCTGTCTTTCTCAGGTGCGCACCAAACAGGAGTTCAGGTACAGACGAGCACCTGTAGTGTTCATTAATAGTGAGTGAGTGAGTGAGCGAGTGAGAGAGCAAGAGTGTATGTGAGAATAAGTGTGCTTGAAAGTGAGTGAGGGATTGTGCGTGTGAGAGTGCGTGCGTGAGTGAGCGTGAGAGGGAGTGTGTTTGCGTGAGAGTGAGGGAGTGCGTGTGAGTGAGTGTTTGCGTGAGAGTTGAGAGTGTGGGTGAGAGTGAGTGAGTATGTGTGTGAGTGAGCGTGCATGTGAATGAGTGTGCATGAGAGTGTGTGTGTGTGTGTGAGAGTGTTTGTGAGTGAGTGGGGGCGAGAGTGAGTGTGTGCGCGTGAGAGTGAGTGTGTGCGTGAGAGTGAGTGTGCGCGTGAAAGTGAGTGTGTGCGTGAAGTGAGTGCGTGTGAGAGTGAGTGTGTGTGAAGTGAATGTGTGCGCGTGAGAGTGAGTGAGAGTGAGTGTGTGCCCGTGAAAGAGTGCGTGCGTGAGAGTGAGTGAGTGTGTGAGAGTGAGTGCGCTTGAGAGTGAGTGTGTGTGTGTGTGAGAGTGAGTGCGCGTGAGAGTGAGTGAGTGAGAGTGAGTGAGTGTGCGTGAGAGTGAGTGAGAGAGAGTGTGTGTGCGTCAGAGTGTTTGTGAGTGAGTGGGCGTGAGAGTGTGTGTGGGTGAGAGTGAGTGAGAGTGAGTGAGTGTGCATGAGAGTGAGTGAGTGTGCGTGAGAGTGAGTGAGAGAGTGTGTGTGCGTGAGTGTTTGTGAGTGAGTGGGCGTGAGAGTGAGTGAGTGTGCGTGAGAGTGAGTGAAAGAGAGTGTGTGTGCATGAGAGTGTTTGTGAGTGAGTGGGCGTGAGAGTGTGTGTGGGTGAGAGTGAGTGAATGTGTGCCCGTGAAAGTGAGTGTGAGTGTGTGAGTGAGCGTGTGTGAGCGTGTGTGTGCGTGAGAGTGAGTGAAAGTGAGTGGGAGTGAGTGCACGTGAAAATGAGCAGACGAGCACCTGTAGTGTTCATTAATAATGAGTGAGTAAGTGAGTCAGAGAGCGAGAGTGTATGTGAGAATGAGTGTGCTTGAAAGTGAATGAGTGAGGGATTGTGTGTGTGAGAATGCGTGCGTGAGTGAGCGTGAGAGGGAGTGTGTTTGCGTGAGAGTGAGTGAGTCAGTGTGCGTGTGAGTGAGCGTGCATGTGAATGAGCGTGCATGAGAGTGTGTGTGCGTGAGAGTGAGTGAATGTGCGTGAAAGTGAGTGTGTGCGTGTGAGAGAGTGTGTGCGTGAGAGTGTGTGCGCATGAGAGTGAGAATGCGTGAGTGGGAGTGAGTGCACGTGAGAGTGTGTGAGAGTGAGAGAGTGCACATGAGAGTGAGTGCATGTGAGTGTGTGCATGAAAGTGAGTGTGTGCGCGTGGGAGTGAGTGCGCATGAGAGTGAGTGCACGTGAGAGTGAGTGGGAGTGAGAGTGAATGTGTGCACGTGAGTGGGAGTGAGAGTGTGTGTGAGAGAGAGTGAGTGAGCGTGTGTGAGAGTGAGTGAGCGTGTGTGAGAGTGAGAGTGAGTGAGTCAGTGTGCGTGTGAGTGAGCGTGCATGTGAATGAGCGTGCATGAGAGTGTGTGCGTGAGAGTGAGTGAATGTGCGCATGAGAGTGAGAATGCGTGAGTGGGAGTGAGTGCACGTGAGAGTGTGTGAGAGTGAGAGAGTGCACGTGAGAGTGAGTGCATGTGAGTGTGTGCATGAAAGTGAGTGTGTGCGCGTGAGAGTGAGTGGGAGTGAGAGTGAATGTGTGCACGTGAGTGGGAGTGAGAGTGAGCGTGTGTGAGAGTGAGTGAGCGTGTGTGAGAGTGAGTGAGCGTGTGTGAGAGTGAGTGAGGGTGTGTGAGAGTGAGAGTGAGTGCGTGTGAGAGTGAGTGCATGTGAGCGTGAATGTGTGCTCGTGAGAGTAAGCGTGTGTGAGAGTGAGTGAGTGTGCGTGAGATTGAGTGCACGTGAGATTGAGTGTGCGTAAGATTGAACGTGCGTGAGATTGAATGTGTGCGCGTGAGAGTGAGAGGGAGTGAGTGTGCATGAGATTGAGTGTGCATGAGTGTGTGTGCGTGTGAGAGTGTGCGTGTGAGTGAGTGTTTGCGTGAGAGTTGAGAGTGTGGGTGAGAGTGTGTGTGCGTAAGAGTCTGTGCGTGAGAGTGTTTGTGCGTGAGAGTCTGTGCGTGAGAGTGTTTTTGCGTGAGAGTGTTTGTGCGTTAGAGTTTGAGTGAGTGGGAGTGTGCGTGTATGAGAGTGCATGGGAGTGCGTGAGAGTGAGTGAGTGTGTGTGCGTGAGAGTGTGTGCGTGGGAGTGAGTGTGCATGAGAGAGAGTGAGTGTGTGTGCGTGGGAGTGAGTAAGTGAGTGTGCGTCAGATTGTGAGTGCGTGGGAGCGTGTGAGAGTGTGTGTGTGCGTGAGAGTGTGAGAGTGTGTGTGCATCAGAGTGTGTTTGTGTGTGTGTGTGAGAGTGAGTTTGTGTGAGTGTTTGTCTGTGTGTGTGTGTGTGTGTGTGTGTGTGTGTGTGAGAGAGAGAGTGTGTGTGTATGAGTGTGGGTAATATGAATTAGAAAACCCCACCCACACATACTCACAAGTGTTGAGATCTGAATCACAATGAGCTTAAAATGGCTGTAAATCTGTGAGTAATGAATGATCCGAACAGAAGGTGTCTATTACTAAAAACAGCCAAACAGTTAGTAGTGACAAATAATACGATAGTTACTAATTAATGTATTGTTGTTTTGTTTTTGCATTTTGCAAATCACTGCAATAGTTTTTCTCCTCTGGAAATCCCCAGTATTGTCAAGTTTCCTGATAATTCCTCGGTTTTCTGTCATCATGGGAACACTAGTATTCTGTATATAATTATAAACATTTAAAAATATCATATTATTGGTTGTGTATTATTGATGTAGTGATGCTTTTTCCCAGAAATGACATCAAATTCCATGTTTAATTTGCCAAATCTCCATAAGGCAATGCTGTAGATACACTATAAGCTCAAACACTGACAAGGACTTTCTCATTTCAACAATATTATTTTGATTATTCTCTTATTGTGTGTTCATATATAACCCAATCTTTCTCTTCTCTCCTTTCCAAAAATGTGAAATCAGGATCATGTTTTGTCATTTTTTTGGGTAAACATCCAGCTTGAAGCCTTGTTTACCGCCATCATCCTTCCATCTGTGTGTTTCTCGTTCGCTCTGCTCTTTATTAATAAGTGTGTGGCCACTTCGGTCCAAACTTCATTTCCTGCGTTCGTCTGATTGCGTGAATAATTTCGCGAGTAATTAGAAGTGACGTCATCGCTGCCACTTACAGAGATGCTTTACACAGACTCGCGATAGTCAGAGGATCAAAAACAACCTTGTCCTGATATATCAATCATCTCGCTCTAATTAGTGGATGGATTTGGTATCTTGTAACTGTTATTAGTGTATTGTGTGTCTTCTGTTGAAGCCAATTGAGCTGTTCCTTTCTGCTCAGATGCAGACGCTGTTAAGAGGCGATCGAGCGCTTTATCAGATGAGTCCTAATTATCAGACCGCAAATACACTTCAAAGAGACACTACACACACAAATCGTGTGTCCACTAAAACACATGGAAGTCAAAGGAGCAAGAAACATGCCGCTTTTCCTTTTGGCAAAGCACTTGGATAATAATAGCATCACACTAATATCAAGTTATAATCTGAAAACAACATTACACACACTAAAGAAACAAAAAGGCATAATATGACCCCTTTAATAGGCTTAATAAATTAGTAAATGTCTAATTAATATGAACTAAGATTAATAAATGCTGCAAAAGTATTGATTAACTAATGTTAACAATTGTAACATTATTGGAAAGTATTCCCGGTCTGTCTTTGTTTTCGACAAATAAATTAACCACATACACATACAGGTTTGGAACAACATGAGGGAAACTAAACTAAATAAATGAGTGCCACTGGTTTCTTAATGTGTTTTCACTAAGAAGTGTAATAAGAAGCAGATTATATTCACTATAGTATCTCTCTGATGGAGAATTATTATATTTTGTGGGGAAAAGCAGCGAGAAACGCACTGTGACAGATCATATGATC